AGGAAACTCACTGGGATACCAGAAGAGCCAGTTAGACAACATAGTGAAATGAGAAAAAAAAATCCAGGCTATGAAGGAGGAAATTTACAAAGAGATTAATATCTTAAAAAAGAATGTAGAAGAACTCATGGAACTGAAAGATTCACTCAACAAAATAAAAAACACAACTAATAGCTTGAGCAGCAGGTAGAACAAGCAGAAGAAAGAACTTCTGATTTTCAAGAAAAGCTTTTCAAAATAACCCAGATGGACAAAAAAAGGAAAAAAGAATTTAAAAAAATGAAGAATATCTAAGAGAGCTAGCAGACAATCTTAAGCACACAAACATTTGAAACATGGGTGTTCCAGCAGGGGAGGAGAAAGGAAAGGGCATGGGAAACCTAGTCTATGAAATAGTAACAGAAAACTTCCCAGGTATAGGGAGATAGGTAAACCTTCAGATCCAGGAGGCTCAAAGATCCCCAAACAGATTCAACCCAAAAAGATCCTCCCCAAGACACATTATAGTCAAACTTGTAAAGCTCAAAGACAAGAGAGAATCTTAAAAGAAGCAAGAGAAAAGCATCAAGTCACCTGTAAGGGAACCTTATCAGGCTAACAGCAGACTTCTCAACAGAAACTCTACAGGCCAGAAGAGAATGTTACGATATATTCAAAATATTAAAGGAAAAACACTGCCAGCCAAGAATACTATACCCAGCAAGGCTATCCTTCAGAAATGCAGGAAAAATAGTGTATTTTCCAGACACACAAAAACTGTGGGAGTTCACCACCCACACAACCAGCCCTACAAGAAACCCTCAAGGAAGTCCTGCATCTGGAATCCAAAAAAATGATAATCACTACCACGAATGCATAAGAAAGAACAAAATCCACTGGTGGAGCACAAACATAAACAAGAAAGAGAAACAAACTAAATCTTACCAGCACGAAAAACCATGACAGTGTAATAATGCCCGTGATTTATTTCTGATTTTTGTAATTTCGGTCTTCTTTTTTTTCTTGGTCAGTCTAGATAAAGGTTGGCCAATTTTTTTGATCTTTTCCTTTTTTTAAAAGAAGAAGGAAATTTAACTCTCAAAAAACCCCCCTAAAAACAAAATCGAAAACTGAACTGCACTGCGATTTGGGCATTGTGTCCTGCCTTTTCCATGTGTCATCACAGCGAATATTCAAGGACACAAACAGGTTAACACTGATGATCACCACAATTGCCACCAAACTGACCACACCTAGAATATTCCCTGTGTGTTTACCACATGCCAGACACCACGTTAAGCACCACACAAGGCTCAGCTCATTAAAAAATCAGCTCAACCAAATAAGTGATGTATTACTGTGATTATTATCCTTATGGGTGTTGCCTCCAATATACAGATGAAGAATCTGAAATTCACAGATGGTAACTCGCCCCAAACCAAATTCTAGTAAGTAGCTGTCCCCACCAGGCCTAGTGGGTAGAGAGCAGGGCCCTCAGACCTGGCCCACCGGGTCAGCATGACTGCAGTCTGGCCGCCAGGCCCCCACCTCCCGGCTCTGTCAGCCTCCCTTTGGCTTCAGGAGCCTCCTGGTCAGCTGCTCTTCCGTGCTCGGGCAGCCTTTACAACTAAGCTTGAGAATGAGAAGGCTTATGACGATAGCCCTAAGACAGCTGGGCAATGTACCAGCCCTTTGCACATGATCTCCCACTTGTCTCTTACAATGACCTTAACGATCTTAAAGGTGAGGGGACAAATCCCCGAGGCAGGGGGAGGGCTTAGGCTGTCATGCTGGTCTTTCCAATGCTTAGGCCCACTCTGCCCTTCTCTGATGCTCCTCCATGAGCCTCCTGTCCTTTCTCCACACCCCAGCGCCAGGCCTCTGACAACATCTGTGCGGATGCGAGGGTGCTGCTCTCACCAGGTCTCCACTTTGCTGCAGCCTTCCTAAAGGCTCCACCCTAACTTATTAACAATGGGAGTGCTTTGGCTTAATGTGTCCCCCCAAAATCCACATGTTGAAACCCTAACCCCCAAAGCAATCAATGGTATGGAAGGTACAGCCCTTGGGTGGAGACTCTGTTATGAAGGTGCAGAGCTCAAGAATGGGATTAGTGCCTCTACACAAGAGCCCCAGGAGCTTACTGGCCCCTTCCACTATGCAAGGACATAGTAGGAAGACACTGTCTGTGAGGAACTGGCTCCTACCAGAATCTGCAGGTGCCTCGAGCGTGGACTCCAGCCTCCAGAACTGTGAGCAATAACTGTCTGTTTTTTATAAGCTGCCTGTGCTATGGGGTTTTGTCATAGCAGCCCAAATGGACTACGCCAGGGAGGGACCATCTCTACCTTCAAGCCAGCAGCTTCACTCTTCCTTGGTCTGTAAGTACTCACTGGGGGGTCAGGCTATGGGGTCGGTGCTGAGGACTCATGGTGAAGGAGACGGGTGTGGTCCTCTCCCCTCCCAGCATGACATCTCACGTGACAAACTTGTAAATGACAAGTCCAGCGAGGGTGGAGACATGCTGGGACACAGCAGTTAGCAGGGCCAGTAGCCCAGATGTGGGGATCAGGAAAATGCTTTCTGTAGGAATGACAAACTTGTAAATGACAAGTCCAGCGAGGGTGGAGACATGCTGGGACAGAGCAGTTAGCAGGGCCAGTAGCCCAGATGTGGGGATCAGGAAAATGCTTTCTGTAGGAATGACATTTGATCAGAGCTCTGTGTGACAGACAAATGGGAATCGAGCTGGGAGTGTCTCTGGCAGAAGAGAAACATGTGCAAAGGCCCCGAGGTGGGAAGAGTGAGGGGATTTTGATCACAGGATGGAGAATTCATGGAGCGCAGAATTTTGGGGGCAGGGAGAGGGGGCAGCCTGCAGAGGTCAGCGGGGTCTTGCAGACCTACTGGGGAACCTATGCTTTGTCTTGGGGCCAGAGAGCTACAGGAGCAGGGGAACGACTGGCTGGGCACCTTTGCCAGTGGCTGAGCGGAACCGTGGGACAAGATGGAGGCAGGGAGTCCCAGGAGGAAGCTGTGGCAGTGATCCAGAAGTGGACTCAGCAGCATCGGAGGGAAAGAAGGGGGGACGAGGAGAGGACGAAGCTTGGGGTACAACGAGATGACTCGCCCTGTGCCCAGCACCAGCAGCTCCTTGGCGGATGTGTGGTGCTGGAAAGGGTGGACGGTTGTGACTGTACTGAGAGAGGAAGCTCAGGACGAGAGGCCTGGGGGCCTCAGGGGAGCATCTCCATGCTGAACCTGTTGAGCTGGAGCCAGCGGTTCCCACATGCGAATGTGGGCGAAGGGCTGCAGACAGGGGTCTGGAGCACAGGACAACCTGCGATGGAGATGCGGAGCTGTGACTATCTGTGTCTGGATGGTGACAAGAGCCACAGACCGGGAGAGGGAGCAGATCTGGAAGAGAAGCAGTGCAGGACCAACTCCAGGCGCCACAGTGAGGATGAGCAGAGGAAGAGATGTCCCAGGGGAGACTGAGGACACATGCCAGAGAGGAAGGAGAAAACGAGAAGGCAGGGCAGAGGGGGCACCTGAATGTGGCAAACGTTGCTGAGAGTCGAGAAGTATCCAAAAAGTTTTCTTCAAACTCCAGACATCTTAACAGATGAGGTTCCTCTAACCTCAAAACAATGGTTTTCATTGTCAGTCTGAAAAAACTACACTCATATGTGGAATCTAAAAAAA